TGTTGTGCACTTTCTCAGTCTCCTTGGCGCCTCATTTTTGCAATATTTGCGAAGGCACAATTGCGTTTTCCTCCTACTAACACTCTCCCATTATATATACATATTTTCCTTCAAGGCATTTTAAGTTGGGGGATCGAACAACCTCTCGGAACTGGTATCAAGTAACCTCGGATCGCCTCAACAGCCTTTTATCTTCCTTTGCGCCTGCACATACTGTCGTCGAGTTTCCCCCTCGAGCGAGCAGTCTTCATCTTATCCGCACTGTGGATAGACTGAATTCAGTCCTACACGAACTCAACAGCTATTTGCCCCTTAATATTGTTGGTGTTCAGGCAATTTCCTCAGAATTTCGCGACACCTCTGTATTTCCCCCGATCCTGACCGTTCCTCGTAGACTGCGTAAGAGGGCACGTGAGAAGAAGACGAAGACCTTCTCCTGGAAGGACGTGCGTCATACTCTGCAGCCCATCTATAGTACGTCAGATTTGGCCTTCACACTGCCACTTTAACCCAATTTAAAACAAATTCATGTCAGATTAGGAATGACGATGGTAACAATCTATTGTAGGTAACACCACGCCCACTTCACTCAAATAATTGTGAGCATTTAGGGCTTTCAGTTACAAATGTCTTGCTTCATACTGGGAGTATTTCCCATTGGCTACTGACATGCTCTGATTTAATCATAGGTTGTTTATTCAGCTTCGTCTAATTTTTCGCAAGTGGCTTTTGTTGTTTTTTCAATTATCGCGCGCTTTTTCGTTGCTATATATTAGCTTTTCGTAGTAATTTTATCTCCTATTTCTCGTTTTTGTTTGTTCTACTTTTTACCATCTCTCCTGCTCCTCCGTATTGGCCTATCCGAATAACCTCTATTACCGTCGGTCATGTACTACAGAATTCAAGTGTTTCTGTTTTCGGTGGTGTTACATGTAATGGACTGTTACCATGATGACTTAAGTGGAATCGTGATATTTATCTTGGAGCATAATCCCAAAATATTTGTAAGGTCACTAAAATATACATAAAAATACGCTACTTAAATGGTCATTTTTCTCGTTTTTTTTTCCAGAAAAGCCGAAAAGACGTTTGTCCAAAACCCGGCACCCTGCTGTGTCCTTAATACCGTGAAATTG